CCAAAAACCAAGACTAAAAGTAATTTATAGGGAAATTATGATCTCAATTGGCTAAAAATTTGTCTTTTGTATAACTATCCCTAAAGAAATCTCATAAATAGTTAATATAGTGGTAGAGAATATGAAACTTAGCTTCAAATGACTACTCAACACATACATTTAACTCAAAAGAAACTTGATCAAATTTTTTTTTTTAATTAATATAAGCTGGTCATTACCAAATTTTATGTACATTTGATAAAACGTAATATTTCTTATTTTAAAAGTTAGTTCTTCAATTAAGAATTGTTTAGAAGAGACCTTTGAACCATACATTCTTGACTCAATTTGATTTTTGGTTATTTTGACACGACAAAATTACACAAAGAATTTAGGGAAAAAAATTATTATAATTAGTCACAATTTTATAAGTCTCAAGTCTTGAGTATTCAAATGAATGTGCATTCGGTCTATATAGGTATATACTTGAAAAGTATGCAAATCATTATCAATGTGGTCATAGGTTCTACGACCTTTTCCACAACTATTCAAAAAAATAAAAAAATAAAAAAAAAATTTCACGGAAAAAATATTTACATATAAATAGGTCAACTTATGAATCTCATATTAATTAATTTTAACTTTGACTTAGTCTTTGTGTAGGTTGGCATTTGATGTAATAGAGTACTGTCTCATTCTATCATAAACTAATATATTCATCCCGAAAAGTATGTAACGATGATCCTTCATTTGAGTCAATTATGAGCTTAACTTAACGGTAAATAGCATATACTATTTCCTTTTGAGATTAGAAGTTCAAACTTCCATATCTCTAATTCGTTGTACTGAAAGAAATAAATAAATAATACTAACGGAATATAAAAGTGTCTTTCTAAAAATTATATGTATGCTAAAACCATATGTTAAAGAAGAATAAACCATAACTCAATCCAAAAACTTAAGCTAATAGATTAGGTAAAAATTTAATTCATATTATATTGAATACCTAACACAATTTATAATCATTCTTTTGAGAATAATTTACGATTTATTTTAAATTTCTAATTAACCTTTTGTTAATAACTAAAAGGAAATTTAATAACAAAATTAGACCATTTAGCCTAATTCTAAAACTTCAAAGTTTACTCGGTACTGAAAAATTAAGAATAGAATGGTAAAAATTCAAAGCTCAAAATTGTCATTTACTCCCATTTTTCCTTTTGCTTCCTCTCTCCTTGAAACCCATGCATTTTCAGATTTTGGCTAATATATATATATATATATATAAATTAAGTAAATAGAGGACACTCAGTTTTAATTCTTATTTATTTATTCTTGAATTTTCAAATCTTGCTATAGATTAAAAATCGTTCTAAATAGAACAAAAATCAAAATTGTTTATATTCAATTCTAGTTTTGAAAATTGAGAAATGAGAATAAAATAACTATTAAACACGGCATCAACACTCTTTTGTATCATGTCGACATTTTTATGTCTATTGGTTCCACATTAATTTTTCCACCATATAACAAAAAAATTGACAAGATACAAAAATATATCAACAAAATATCACTAATATATACATGATATTAAAATTAATAGTGAAATGCAAATGCACCAATACAAATTTTTAGCTCAACTAAGCTATGGACCTTTTGCCTATCGAGTCTAATTTTGAAGTCTAAATTTTTTGACGCAATCGAGATTTGATTGCTTCCAACACAAATTGTTTTGGTTTCACTTTTGCAACCTTTAATTCACTTAGACAAATTATCGATAAATAAATGAAAGGTGTTTCATTTGGTTTAGCAACATCTAATATGACTAACAAAAGACTTGAAATAGGTAGGCAAACTAACCCACACTTTAAAAAAGGTTACAGACTGCAAAAGCTCAACAATAGTTCGGATATGGAATTGTTTTGACGTGTCCTCGATACCATCGGTGCATAGAAATGTCGTTGAAGTTGTAATAGAATCTTTAGAGGAAGGGAGGAAGACAGGGAGTCTAATTGGGGTCTCATTAGATTAAACGTCTCTTTATGGGGTCGGTTTCGAAGTTGTTTTGTAATTACCAGCTAAGCCTTGTTATTTTGGATTGGAGACCCTTTCTTTAGTTGGGATTTTTCCTATTCATATATTTTGTTTTTATTTGTCTCAATGAAAAGTTTCGTTTCTCATAAAAAAAAAAAAAAGAAGTACGGATGAAGTTGTGCAGTAGACTAAGAGTCATTGGATATAATTTCATATTTATCAAATATAGGGTGAAGCCCTCGATTTGGTCATGCTTTAGGCCATGGACCTTAGTTCGCCTGTCAGGGCTAATTTTGTCTTCCCATATTAGTAGTTCCTACTTTCAAAATGGAAGACAAGAAGCATATTAGATAAAATGCTAGACTTCTATATTTAGAATACTTGTTATTTAGTTTTCGAAGAGTTTGTTGTTCATGGCCCTACCATTTCTATGGGAGAGCCACCATATCCTTTTGTCGTAATTAGCTTTTAATAAGTTTTTTTAGACTCTACAATAGGTTTAGATTTAACCGTTAGTCTTTTTCTGGCCTTGGGCTTTAAGTTTGCTCGCCTTCGACACCATTGAGTATTTGAACCTATTTTGGCTTTATGTCAATGGTTTTATACCCTGAGTTTCATTGATTGTTTCGCTCTTTCACCCGCTTTCAATTTTAACTTTGCTGGGCTAGTTCACAGGCCTTTTTCAGTACTTTAGGCTTTTGATCATTTAGGTTCAATTTGTGATTGATCTTCTCCGATTTCACTAACTAGCTTCTAGTTTATTGACATGCTTTTGGCTCGATCCTTTCCTTGATTAGCTTTTGTTGTAGATTAACTTACCAAATTCCTCGCTTGAGGGGTGTATATTTTAAATAAAGATAACCAACCAAATTTCAAAATCTTAAAAGTTTACTCCAACTTGCAACAAGCAAATAGTTTTAGAAACATAAAATAATGTTTAGTTTCTTCACCAAAGCTTGCGCCTATATTTTGGGCGACGACCCACTGTTGTATGCACTCAAAATAATAATAATAATTGAGGACAATGTTAATCTTGACTTTTGATTTTGAATTAGTTAGCATTTAATTTAATATTGGGGTCTCATTCATCATCTCCAAACAATAACTATTATGGTATGCAAATAAACTTTTGATTCAATTGAGTTCACTTTTCTCCAAACCACTATCCAAAGATATAAAGGAAGAACTTTAAAGGAAAATACGAACTTTCATAAATAGTCATTTATAAATTTCATATAATTATAACTTTTATCTTTGATAAGTAGGTTGCCATATTTGGTACGTAAAAGTTTTCACACATCAAGCACATAATTATTATATATATATATATATATATATATATATTATTTTTTTCTGAAAAATAAAGTTGAAATACTTTTATAATTAAACAACTTATATATGCTCCAACGTACTATTGATTTACCAAAACGAGCATAGTTCAGTGGTATTTGACATATAATTTCAACCATGAGGTTGTAAGTTTGATTCTCCCGCCCTCACATGTTGTACTAAAAAAAACATACTATTGATTTATTGATTTATTATTATTATTTCTTTTTTTACAAAATTAAGTTTATATCAACCCATTGTAAATATTTATTCAACCTTGTCGATACTTCATTGATAGAAATAAGTTTCGATATGTTACTTGACTTCTCTTTTTTTTTTTTTTGACAAAGTACAGTTTTGATCCTAAGGTTTGGGTAGGTGTCTACCTGATCTCTGAAGTTTCAAAATGAACAATTTTGGCATTGAGGTTTGAGATAGGTGTCTAATTCGTCTCATGAACACGATTTAAAGTAGATGTCAACTTGGTCCTTGAAGTTTTAAAATGAACACTTTTGATCCTTAAAAGAAATAATTATAAATGGTCTCTGACCAAAAATGTACTTGACTTCTCTATTGATTTTTTATCGAACCAACTTTACATAAAAATAGACACTAAACGATTTTCGTAGGAAATAAGTTTTTTGAAAATTTACAATTACGTCCTTGCTCCAAACTTACAAAAATATCTTTCTCAACAAATTTTAAAATTTTCCTGAGTGATTTTTAAAATCCGTACTATCCATTAAAATTTTTCTTGCCGTTGTTCAAAATTTATGCAATTTATTGATGGATTGATGTTACCAATAAAAAAGCTTTATGAACTTTTAATTTTTGTTAATTCATGTATATAAATTTTGAATATTTACTCAATCTTAGATATTTCATTGCTACTTTTTGCTTAAAAAATCTACTCATTAAAATGTTTATTTTAAATCAAAATTTAAAAATATTTTAAAAGAAAGAGAATGAAAGATATTGGAATAATTTTCCATGGAATGAAAAGTAAACATGTTAGTATATAAGTATGGTTATTTGATTCGTAATTCCTTCAAAACATTTTAGAAAAATTAAGTTGTTATTCTTTTTAAAAATGAATTTTTATGCTATTTTACTTATTTGTTTAATTTCTTGTTGAATCTGATCACATAAAAATACACCTTAAACAATTTTATTTAAAAATTTTGAATAAAAAAAGTTGTTTTAGAAAATTACCATTATGCCCTTTTGTCAAAATTGCAAAAAGACCTTTTAAGAAAAATTTTAAAATTTGATGGATTAATATTATCAATAAAAGAACTTTATTAACGTTTAATCTTTCTTATTTTATGTATATAAATTTTAATTATTTACTCAACCTTATGTAGGTATTTCATTGCTACACTTTGGAAAAAAATCTAACTGAATGTTTATTTTAATTAAAATTTTAAAATTGTTTGAAAAGAGAGAGAATGAACATCTTTGGAATGATTTACATGGAATTTGATAGTAAATAAGTGTTATTATTTGATTGATAATTCGAATCTAGAGGTGTTGGATTCAAAAGACTATAACTAAAGCCAAGAGAATGAAGTCTGCAGAAAAACAAAGGTCAAATAACATCTGATGTAATGAATAAAGGCCATGGCTCGCGTTCAAATCAAATCAAGACATCTCAAATTTTCTGATATTTGTATGAATCAGCCCACAGCATACGAGGTGGAGGAAAAACAAATAATAATAAAATGCTTCTCTGAAACGCATGTCTCCATTCAAAATTAACCTTATTACACTGATAATCTCCTCACTTTAGCATCTACACATTTCGGATGAGTATGACTTTTGTTTTGACAGCGGAATTGGAGGTCTCTTCAAGCTAAAGCATAAGATATACACTTCTTTCTCTTGCACTATTCTTCTTTTCAAGCTTCCAATTTCTTGCACTGAAATGTTATTGAACAAATTGCCATTGAAATATCAGAAACTTAATCGTCATGACTATAACAGGTGAAAATCATGTGGATAAATGAGAACAGTACCTGTAACGAGTATGGTTTGATAATTTATACTGATTTTTCCCCTATGAGACCTTCAGAATTTCATGAAATGCTTCTTGAGGTATATCGACAGATCCAACACGTTTCATTCGTTTTTTCCCTTCCTTTTGTTTCTCCAACAGCTTCCTCTTTCGAGTAGCGTCCCCACCATAACACTTTGCTAGAACATTTTTCCTCATAGCCGAGATCCTAAAATTAACATAAATAAGTTCAGTCTCACAATGAAAATTGAAGGATACCCAATCAGTAATTGAAATAGTTTGGCCACGAGATTTTGGGGCACTCAGTTTTCGAATATGTAATAAATATCCAAGTAAAAAACATGCTAGAGAAAATAAGTATGTAAAATAAGGCATTACGTTTCTCTTGCAATAATCTTAGATCCGATCGCAGCTTGTATTGTTATCTCAAACATTTGCCTGTTCAGCATACAAACAGCTCATGTCATAAAACAAGAATAGGAAAAAGAAAATAAATAAATTTCAGTCCTGTCACCTGTCAATGAATTTCTTCAGTTTATCCACCAATTCACGTCCGACCCTTTGTGCCTTCAAATTGTGAACAATCGTTGCCATTGCATCAACTGGCTGCCCATTCAATAGGATATCCAATTTCACCAAGTCAGCTTGTTGGTACCTGGTAATCGCACCCATCAATTCATCGTTATATGGAATATGCAATTCCGAATAAAATCATATTACCTAACCTTGCAAAACTTATCATGTCATACAGCCACCTAAGAAAAGCCTATAATAATGATAATTTTTGTTTAGAAACTACTTTCTTACGCATCAGGCTTTCCACAGAACTGAGAATACATATTAGCTAGAGACATTTGACCATGAACCAGTGTTAAATAATAAGATCATTTGAAAAATTACAACAATTAACCATCTTTCATTATGTGCATGCACAAAAGACTCCGCCGAGGAGTTTCAAGAGCCAAGACTTACAAATGGAGTTGAATAGAGAGGACAGGAAGCTTACTCTGAATCCTCGTAATCAAATGATGCATACCCCGATGTTATACTCTTTAATTCATTGTAAAAGTCAACAACAATTTCCCTTAAAGGTAAACGATATTTCATAAATGCCCTTTGACTGCAGGACAAAACTTGAAAGAATTAGTATATTAAATGATTGGCCATCAAGAGCGACACATAAACAAAATAAGATACCAATTTCATATCCATAATAAATTACAAGTAACAAATCATTCACGATGCCCGGATTAGCATTAACAAGGTAGCAGAAGAAAAAAATGATATTGCGATGCTACAAGAAGTAAACTCTTTTAGTTCTTTGTTACCTATCAATGAATGAGTACTCTAATTGTTGACCCCTCCGTTCAGAACAAAGTGTAATAACAGATCCAACATATCTGTAGTAAAAAAGAGATACTTTTGAATGACTTAATGTGAAAACTAAAGAGGAAGAAGAATAGAAAAGTGTATGAGAGCTTACTCACTAGGAATGATAATTGTAGCCAACACTGTAGGTTCCCATCCAGCAGTCACTCGCTTCTTGGGATTTGATGGCAATGCAGCAGGGTTTTGAACTTGTGCTTTGCTTAAAAGAGGAGGAAAATACTAATTTAGCTCTTGGTAAAGAAAGAATGTGAAACATAGAGAAAAGGAAAACACTGAGATAACCTTCCATCAGAATACTCAAAAATATAGGGCACTGTTGGAACAGTAGAAATAACATGAGCTCCATACTCCTGTCATATACAGCAACATGGATTATCAATATCTGATGACAAAAATAGGCTTATATTTTATCTGTCATATATGTTAATAATGAATAAAAAAAACCAACCTGTTCAAGCCGCTGATGAAAAACATCCATGTGAAGTAATCCTAAGAAACCACACCTGTGTATAGGGCTCAATCAGGGTTCACGTATATGACAAATAAAGCTGATATAAATGCATTTTGGTAGCGATAGAAATCAAGTCAGCGGAAGCCAACCTAAAACCAAGCCCTAATGCTGTGCTCGTCTCCTTAGCAACAGAGACACTGGCATCATTACATGTAAGTCTCTCTATTGCATGGTTGAGTGCATCAAAATCAGATCCGTCAGCTGGATATAGACCAGAGAAAACCATGTGTTTTACAGGCTTAAAACCTACAAGAAGAAAAACAAAATATCAATAAGAGGGAAGCAAATGAAAGAGCCAGCCCATGGCCCATGGCCCATGGCATGCACCAAAATAGCAAAAGAAAAGAAGTTTACTGAAATATTGTGTTCACTAAATATATCCCATGTGTTTATCTGAATAACTGGCATCAGTTAGAAAGGATCAAAACTCCTTATAACCAAAAAAAAATCGTAAAGCCATTGCAGAAACTTCATTTTTGACACATACGTCTCATTGGGAATGAAAAAAGAGATCTAGAACATTTTGAAAAGGCGAATGAGAATTTACCAGGAAGGGGTTCCACAACAGTTTTACTCTGATAGAGTGTATCCCCAATTCGTGCCTCTTTAGTAGAACGCATTCCACTCACAACATAGCCCACTTGACCAGTAAGAAGAATTCCTGTACTGGTAAGCTCGGGATGCATGATCCCAACATCCAAGACTTCATAAGCTTGGCCAGTGGCTGCAGAAGAAATCTTATCCCCCTTACGCAGCGTACCATCAACAACAGCAACATGGCATATCACTCCCTTGTATTCATCATAGTATGAATCTAATAAAAGCATTCGCAAAGGTGAAGAGTTCTTTCCAGGAGGTGGGGGTATGCGCTCTATGATGGCAGGAAGGACATGCTCAAGACCTTTCCCTGTTTTGGCGGATGTCAACAGAGCATGTGCAGGTTCAAGATCAAACATAGATTTTAGTTGAGCTCTAACACGATCAGGATCAGCAGTTGGCTGGTCAATTTTGTTAATAACTGGTATGATCGCTAAATTAGATTCAAAAGCAAGATAGAAATTAGCCACTGTTTGTGCTTGAACACCTTGGGCAGCATCCACAACCAAAAGGGCACCCTGGCAAGCTGCTAAGGATCTTGATACTTCATAGCTGAAATCAACATGGCCAGGTGTGTCAATAAGGTTAATCAAGAAAGGAGGCTGATCACTGGCGTTGTCACCAGCACGACTATACTTGTGAAACATGGTTGCAGTCTGAGCTTTAACAGTAATTCCCCTCTCCCTCTCCACCTAAATAATTGTGCTTCATCAAGTTAAAACAAAAAAAAAATGAAAACCCAATAAGGCAATCAATTTTACAGCATAAGATGACAGAAGCCAAAGAAGGCAAATTATCCGTCTAAGAAAAGAAAAAATATCCATGCTGAGTTAAACAAAGACTTCAAGGAGAATAGAACAAGATCTACAAGAATGCTTTCAGCGCTATCATGAAGAAAATTAGCAAATGACGACACTGTCAAACTTAAGTTTTTTATAGTTAATTAGACAATATAGATATCTTGGCAGTTTAAACCCATATCGTAGAACAAACGTAATTGTGTTCTGTAATAGTTCAGGACCATATGAAAGAATACGAAGTAACCATAATTGAATAATGGCGCTGAACAAGGCCAACGAACCTGCAATTTGTCGAGGTATTGGGGCTGACCATGGCCTCGCTTAATAGTACCAGTGAGCTCCAAGAGCCGATCAGCGAGTGTAGACTTACCGTGATCCACATGTGCGATTATAGAAAAGTTTCTAATCCGCTCGGGAGGGTACTGCGTCAAATCTATAGCATTACCAACTTCTTTGTTGTTTTGTCGAGAAGGAGAGCAAAATGCTTGGCTCAAAGCGAAACGAGGAGGAAAACGCGTTGAATTTGTAATACTGCCTCTAGAAACAGAGGAAGTTCGCCATAGATGGAAGCATTTAGGTCTTACGTTTTGCGACGCTTTTCTCAGAAAAACCATTTTTGGGGTTTTGGAGCTGTCGAACCCGAAGGTCCCGAACCAGGAGCGTGCGATGTGAAGTCAGAACATAGGACGATGATGAAGCTCGAGCTTGAGAGTTGTACGTGAAGAAGACGACGTCGTATGGGCACAGTGTTATTTAGGGCGGAGGAATTCATTAAATGGCCTAGTAGATGGGTCCGTTTAGTAAATACTGCAGCCCACGGCCCACGGCCCAAGTCTTGTGTACTGGGCCGAGCCCATTGCTTCTCATATATGCTACAATCTGTGCAGTTCACTCCGCTCCCATACATAGTTAGGCATCATAACTAAGCCATACCATATACAAAAAAATAAAAAAAAAATTAATTAGCAAAGCAAAGTTTAATTTAACAAAAAAAGAAAGAGGTAGAGAACAACATGTCTCATTGTCTTATTCAAGGATTAAACAATAAATTGTTATTACACATGTTTTTGTTTTCTAAACGAAAAAGAAAAATACAAACAAAAGTACTACTTGATGGATTCTAAATAAATAAAAAGTTAAACATACCATTTAGTCTCTTGAAGTATGTATCAATTTTCAATTTCACCTCTAATGTTTCAAAAATTTTCAATGGAATCTCTGGTCAATAACATCATTGAGATTGAATAATAGAATTGTGACATGACATATGAATTGGCCTCTCCCCTCAATTGTAGGTGATATCTTATCAAGTGAGAAATTTTCTTGTATAATACTGTAGCAGCATGTAGGTTTCTAAATTAAGCAGGAGAAAACATAAAAGAAATAGGAGAGATGAAACAGGGAGGGATGACATAAAAAACAAAAGAAAGTTGTCTTTTCAACTATAGTGTTAGGCTTATGTTAAAAGATCATATCATGTGATAATTATTCGATATATATGTTATCCCTTGAATCTCGTCATCGATGAATATGAATCCAATTGAAAATTTGGAAGCATAGAAAACGAAGGGGATATAGAAAATGATGTATATATTTGAGAGAGAGACCAAGTTAGAGTTAAAGAGGGATAAATTTTGGCTCAACATGAATAAGAAATTCTCCATAATAAGTTAAAAAAATAAGAGTGGTGGGCTGGGTGAGTGGTCTCAGTTGGAGTACCCCACGGCCATGACCACATCAAAATGACTTCAAATTATTAGCCAAACAAAAACCACGACACCTCAATGCGCCACATTGAAAGGGATTTCACCTTTTGGCTTCATTCTTGTGGCATTACAATCACATTCAAAATTGCTCATTTTTATTTCAACAATTCTTTTGAGATGCCAATATCTTTTAACCATGGACACCGTAGAGATATTTACACACAATTTTTTTCAACTAAACCTCACGTAGGAAATTAATTCTTATTCAAGTGGTCATCATAGAGTTTAATGGCCAAATAGCTTGATCAATAGTTTAAAGTAGCATAATCTAATATATATATATTTCAGTTAGTTAGCATCATGATGTGACAACAAATAATTTGTTTGACTTTTTTCCTTTAGTTGACAATATATAGAAGTGGGGATTCAAAATTTCGACCTTTTGGTCGGTGATATATATTTTAACTAGTTGAAATATATTTTTGTTAGTTAATGAGAATGTAGCATGTTAGTATTATATTAATAGTATTAACAATAGAAATGAAGTAAAAACATAATATAATAGGCTCAAAAAGGACATAACTAATTTTATCAAAAGATTCAAAAACTAAAATAGACGCAATATTAGCCTGAAATTGTTTCTTCCTATAATATATATATGAAAAAAGACATTGTCACGTGATTTATAATCTATATTAATTTCTATTTCATTTTTAAATTTTGAAGAAATAAAATATCACATGTCATATACGCTGTACCCAGGTATCTCTATGGTACCATAAACATTTTTACATCAATTTTTTAAAAATCAAGTAAAGACCAAAAGATGGAAAATTTTAATGGGTAGTAATTTAAATGGTCATGTTTACGTATATAGCAACAAGAGTACCATCTTACAAATATAGCAATTTTTAAAATTTTGTGCCTTCCTATTTATATATTTTTATACAATTTCATTTTTACACGTATATCATTCATTTAAAGGTAGATTATATCACTTCTGGATAACTATTAGATAAATTATATTAGTGGATTGGTTAGTGATAGAATATATAAACGATTGACGTCTATTACTATCAGTGATAAATGTCTATCATTAATCGAACTGATTGAGTGGATATATAATATATTACTATATAGTTACTATCAAACGTGATCTGTCATTGATGTCTTTATTGATTGACGTCTATCAGTGATATATAGTCCATAACTGATAGATTGATGACATTTCGAGTCTATTTTGACATTCTTCCGAGGCTTTTTTTTTTTAGAAAATAGCAACCAAAAACTAGGAAGCAGCAAAAAAGAGATGGTTATATATCATCCTTTTTCTCTTTTCTCTATTTGATTGGAGGGCGATACTTATCTACTTGTATATTTCTCTCCCAATTTTTTTTCTCAACATAAAATTTCAAATTCTATTTGATTTCTCTTATTAGATGAAGTAGGAGGAAAGTGTTGAGATATTTTTTAATATTGATTAAGTTGACTAATATCCCTAATCATGTGAGTTCCAAATTAAACAATTAAAAACAGTGGTGCATCAACTATAATTATACAATGCAATACTTTCCCTGATATTGTTGTAGCCATAGTCACAAACAAAGTGCCCTTATATATCCAGATCTTTAGTATATCACGTTTTTCAATTAATTAATTCTACAAAAAGATATGTTCACATATAGGTCGATTTTCTACGGTCTCCTTAATCCATCTCAAATGGATAAATAATAGACAAAAAAATATYGATCATCTTTTCTTTTTTAGTACAACAAATTTTAGGATGAAGATTTAACCTCCGACCTCTAAGGAAATGAAATGTCTTAACCGTTGAGCTAGTATATAATAGTATTTTTAGAGATTATTTTCATTATTAAACTCTTTTATGAGATTGTTTTAGACTTTTATTTAAACACGGTTATGTAAATCATTGATGATATTAAATATATATAACAGAAAAATACGAAAAGCTCATATATAGGGTTAATAAATATTGAGACAGATTGTAACATTAACTAGATTAAGGCAATATGCTTTAAAATAATTAAATTGACAAAAAAAAATTAACTGGCAAAAAAAAAAGTTGGGAGGGGGAATGGAAAAAGCAATATGTATCACAAATTCACATTCTTACAATCTAAAGTAGATTTTGTCTCTCATTCCTACTTGATATTGAGTTGACACATAAAAGCTTTAACAAGATCATACAACAACTTTGAGTAACTAGATCAAACTCTCTCAAAGAAAAACTAATTAGAAAATTATTGTAGAATTAAATCATGGATATTTTAGATTGTAAGAATGTTGGTGGTAAAAATTCGACTTGACACGTGTAATAACGTATACTGAGCTCGGGACAATGCTAACATAACAGACAAACCACTAGCACTCGACGATTCACTACCGAGCTGAGATGAGGGAATGAACTTAGCCGACCTGAGGACTCCGACCTCAGATCCGACCACCGACCTGGGAGCCCGACAACCGTAACCGCCTGTCGTAACAACCTAACGGCCTTGTCTCCCTCGCCTGCCTATAAAAGGGACACTCCGCCCCCAGACCAGGTATGCAATTCTCTCCGAGAACGACCTAAAACTTTTGAGCTCGTATTGACTTGGACGTTGGAGTGTTTGTTCCCTGTACAGGTTCACTTGTAAGCAGATCGACAAGTCGTCTACGTCCACATGTAAGCTCGATCGGAAAACAGCATCAACAAAGAACATTAATATTTCAATTTAAACTCGAAGTTTCTAGGTGCTCTTTTTGCACAATTTAATTTCTTTAGAAATGATAGATAAATCAATTAGTTTAACACTTCAAGTGCGGATCAAATGGAGTGTCCAAGATCTTTAAACAAATATTTGCCAAAAATGAAGGGCAATTTGGTAACTAAATGGCATTTTATGTGTACATGTACTAAAGAGATTTGTTGTTTCCTAGGGAGATGTAGCCTATGAAAGTTGAAAACATCAAAACCTCATGCTTATTTTAGTTTGGGACAAACAACCATCATTTATGCCATTTAGCTTCTACTATAATTTAGTCAGTGAAGCTATAATGTACGCACCTATAAGTCAAGTAGTTTTTCTCACATAACGACCACGAATGATTAGTCAAATACTTTTCACTCCAGATCTTACCATAACTCACTAAGTGACTTCTAGTTTGGGTAAACCTATTAAATTTCATTTAGTCCCACTTTGATTAGGGTACATTCCTAATGGATTTATTCTAAGGATAGCTTAATTAACTAACCACGTCCTTCTTAAAAAAAAAAAATTATCCAAGTATCTAAATATTGTGGTCATATTATAAGGTGTACATGGATTATCTTAAATTAAAAGATTTTCACCCACCGCATTTCGTATAGACACACCATTTATTATCGGTTCCCTAATTTTTTTTCTCCTTTTTTGTTCTTTTTGGTTTTAAAACTGAAAAATCTAAGACAAACCTTTAGCTAAAGGTGAAAGGTCTAAGATTTTGATCATATTATATTTAGAACAATATTTAGATATTTACATAGTTCCATACTTTTTCTTTATCTTTTTTTCTGACTTCTACTAAAAATTTGACATTTTTTTTTTTAAAAAAAATAGATAAAATATATTCTTTTATGCATTTTTGTCTCTTATATGTCAAAAATTTAATGATCGGATCCATATTTACTAAATAAGACTAGGTATAATTCTTTTGTTTAATTTGCTGCATGAAAGCTAAATTCTATCTTAAAATCCATTCCAATACAAAGTGAATTATAATTTTTTAACTAAACATAATTCTATTAGTAGTGCTGAAGACGAGTTGCATTTAAAATACTAAAACTTCCAAGAAGAAGAGAAGATAGAGAATCTTTTTTAAAAAAGAAATTAAAAAAAAAAACAAAAACAAAAACCTCCATAGCCCATCCCACATGCACAGAGCTGGAAAGCCACTGAGTAACCCACACAACACACAGACACACATGTTCTCTCTTTCACTATTATTCTCTCTCTATTTTGCCATCAGATCCAACCCACCAAAATATGTCACTTTCCCACCAAAGGATATGGAAGAAGAAGAAAACAAAAACCCCAAAAATCAAATTATCAAAAGCGTAGTAGTAGTATCATTTCATTTTAATTTGTAAACCCAATCATTAATTAATCCCAAATTCCCAATAATACAACTGATCGAACTAATTAAAATTTTAAAATTTTGAACTGTTTTATAAAGAGAGGAAAAAAAAGGTGTGAAGGTATTGAAGATTAATGAAAATGGGTGCTTTGATCCGAAGTCCATGGCCAAAACCCAGCTGCTGCAGATTGTTGTTGTTCTTCGATTCCATTGAACATATGGGAGAAGCTTTCTTCTTGAATCACCTGCGGGTGATGCTCCACGCCTGATCTTGTGGACGACCCCTGCTGAAGCAGCTGCGTTATGGCGGCGGATCGGAACGACGCCGCCGATGGGAACAGCTCTTTAATGCCCGGCTGGGAGCATCCTCGACCGCCGCCGTTGGTCGTAATTGGCTGTGTCCTTGACATCTCGAGGTTGATGTCGCAACTATTGTCGCTGCTCCAACAACCGCCTTCGTTTTCCTTTTTCAGGGTGGCGCCGCCGCCGGCTGCCGTCTCGCCGGAGTCTTTCGTTTTTAGTGCTAATAACTGTGGAAAAAGAATTAAGGGTTTCCTGTTATAAGAAATTTACAGACAGAGAGACAATTTTTTTTTTGTTAACGTTGATTGTTGGAGAAATTTTAGAGAGGATTTTTTTTTTTTATCGAAATGAAATTCTTAAAATAACTTGTACAAAAATTAACTAATAGAAATAGATAGACAAAATAACTAAATTTGATTAAGAATATTACTAAATACATAGGAATAATTGAGAAGCTTGCTAGGTTTTTAGGATTCAAGATTTTAAAGTTAACCCTATATTTCATATATATAAATTTACACTTTTTTTTTCCTTGACGGAGGTAAATTTACCCATCTAAGACTATTTAATTATCTAAAATTATTATTTCACAAATTGTCGTGAGTTATACCAATTCAAATTCATTTTAGTTCGATTCCACATGATCATGTTATATAAATTTAAAATTTAAAAATCATCTCTTATACTCAAGGCTTTATAAATCATAAAATTCATAAACTAAAACTAAAATTTGTCACTTGTTCTAAGTTTGAATTTCCACCGATAATTTTTAAGATCTATTATTTCAAAAAATAAAATAAGATAAAACTTGTCTCTATTCTTTTTTGTACTTATTTCTAATTTTATTTTTAGTAGTTCAAAAATATTAAGAATGAAGGTACACTTTCATTAAACATAACAAAGATAGACCAATAGTAGAAGCTCCTACCATTACCAATGTAGAGTGCAAGTTTTATTCTTTAGAACAATATTTGTCTACGCCAAGAATTCGTGCTAAATTTTTATGTGAAAATACTTTGTTTCTCGTAATGACATTAAATTTTTTACAACTCATTATTTTTTGGAAGATAAAATCTCTATTTTTCATCTATTTTCTTAGTTGTCTAAAGACAAAAGTTGGTCCAAGCAGTATTTTATTTTTTTTTATGTAGCCTATACCTTTCGATGCACAATTAAATGTAATAAAAATACGCCACATCAAAAAAGTCACCTATCATTACCCTCTCAACAAAATAAACTATACAAACTCAAAAAGTTTAACTTGGACACTATACATTATATAAATTTCATTAAAATCGTAATCCAAACATGAGTAAGTTGAGTAAGATATTTCAAAGATCAAGTTTTTATGTAGTGATTAAGGTAGATATATTTGGAAGGAGAGGAACAAACAAAAAAGCAATGGATTTGAGGCAATAATAATAAAAATGAAGTAAATTGGTGTTTTAATTTATATATGCTTTGTTTTTACCTGTGCATGGAGTTTGGAATTTTGAGCTTGAAGTACATCGTTGTCAGCCTTTAGAGATTCAAACTGTTTCTTCAACACCTCGTAATCTCTCTCCAATTGCTTCGTTTTCCACCTGGCCCTTCTGTTCTGAAACCAAATAGCAATCTGCCTCGGCTGCAGCCCCAACGCCTTGGCCAGCTGCATTTTCCTCTCCGGCTCAAGCTTATTCCCCACCTCAAAGCTCTTCTCCAAAGCCTTCACCTGCTCCAAATTCAGCCTCTTCTTCTTCTCCCCCAGCGCCGATCCGTCGTCCGACAACCCCTCCTCCCCGTTCACCTCCTCGCACCCGTTCTCCACTCCCGAAAACGACATCGATCTCTTCATCATAAACGGCACCACTCCATCTGCCAAAATCAATCAAACAAAAAAACGCAATAAAAATTTAAGTTGATTGATTAGGATAAATTTAATCATTTATAGGATATGTAACCGACGAACCGTGAAAGTAGAGGTGAGGAGGGCAGGAGGGGATGGCGTTGAAGGAGGAGGACGGAACGAAGTCTTGGTGGTCCGTGGCGGCGCGTGATTGGAACATGAAGCTATGGGAGTGGGGGGAGGCCATGGGAATGGCAGTGCATAGTCTAATAAAATGGTTGTTGTTCTTTTTCAAGTGGTGTGGCTCTCACTCTCATGGGGATGATAGAGTTTGCAGAAAGAGAGGGAAGCGATGAAGGGGCAGAGAGAGGAGACTGAAAGACAGCGAATTTTAGGTAGAGAGAGAAAAAGAAAGAGGTGTGAATTTGCTGTATATTTTTGTCATGGAAGGGAGCTTTCCTGGACCCATCCCATGATATGGATCTCTTTCTCTAACTTGCCTGTCACATGCTTACCATATAATAAGATGATATTTTTATATATCTTTGGGTCAGCTATATGCTCGAATATTAATTAATGGCTGGGAAAGAAATAACCAAAAAGAATAACTTCCTTCCCAGCGGACTAAATTTTACTTAAATAGTCGAGTATTAATGTCTCCTCTTATGAGTTATAGATTTAAATTCTTTACTCTCATTTGCATTCATGTTATATTTATTGCGGATACAAAATGAAAGTATAGAGTCATTAAATTCATATGGATGATAAATGAAAGTATACATTTTATTGAACAAAAAAACTTATATATCAACAATATTTTCGGGGGAGTAGGCTTGTATATATGGTTTGAGATTGGAAAGCATTTTAGCTTTGTATTTATTTTTGAATTATGTGGGAATTAAAGAGAATAAATTTAGAAAGTTTAAATTTATATAGTTTATATATAGTAATTTGAATTTAATTATATATCCTTCAAATTTATCCAAGTAGGAGCCTTCTTAGGTTGAGATATTTTTTAGACTCAACCCAATTGAATTGTTTTGCTCGTAAATTTATTCGATCCAAAGAATCTATATTAAATAATAAATTCAACTCAATCCAACCATAAAATATTTTGATTTGATTGGTTCAAATTATTCAGATCACTCATTCAAAATATTGTATAACGAAAGAAAAATAAATGATAATATCTTAAATATTTATTTATATATTGTCTACCGTGAAAAAATATCATTCAAAAAAAATTTTGATTTTCAAAAACTTCGGTAAAATAATAATTCATAAAAAATTATTGAATGAAATAAAGTTAAAATAAATATAATTATATATAGTTTTTTTGTGAGTAAAAGAAATAGTTTTAAAAAATAATAAGAAATCCGAATTGGTTCAATTCAACCCAAATCTATTTTGGGTGAACTATTGGATTTTAGATACCTATATTATAAACTTTCACAAGGTTCATTTTCATTTCGACGTGAGATCTTTTTAAGTGAAATAGTCCAAAAAAAAAAAAATATATATATATATATAAACAGACTCGAAATACCTAGTTAATGCCTTTTTTGCTTTTACGTTTATTCAAAGAAAAAAGAAAAAGGAATCAAAGCAAAATATCAACATGGAAGGGATCGATTAAAAAAATTGGTTGGTGGGCAGCAGAGGGTCCAGGATTTGAGCCATAAAATAATGAAAGATTTAACCTCTGACAAATCATAGAAATATCTATCCAATTTGCACACAAATCGAAACAATTGCAAACCGCCCAAAAAAAAAGATCAAAAAAGAAGAAGGAAGAAAGAGAGTGAGTTTTCTCTTCTGATTTCTCCCCAAAAAACAATCATTTGCAGTCAAATAGTTTAAAGTTTTAAAGGGGCCATCCCCTTCCCTAAGAGTGACGAGGAAACTTGGGGTACCCCATAATCAATCCAAAGCACCAACATTTCATTCATCAATTTATAATCATTCGTTTCCAGAATTTTGGTTATGTATCCTCTCCCATCTAGGGCTACGTACCTCGGGATCTGCAACCCTTACATATTACCATCTAATTAATATCATTAGTTTCAGCCTCCTTAATTAAACTGTTTTTATTTAATCATGTGTTATATTTTATAAAATAATGTAATATATACCATAAAGTTAATGTGTTATACCATTTGGTGGGGCTCTCTTGTCATCATAACCGCCTAAAAGTTGGAATCCAACAGCAGCTATATGAAAAAATGGCTGGATCTGAACTTGAAAGATCCATTAGTTAAAATCTTTAGGGGTTGACTAGCTAGGAATATTGGTATGATAAGAATGTAAATATTATTGATTAATCATTCATTACTAAAATCATCTCAATTGCTAACTTGAACATGCTCCAACGAAAAGAAGTTCGAATTCTCATTCCACATGTTCGTAAGAAAAARAAAATCTTGAAATCACAATGGAACTCTAAAATTTAAGTTGATTGTGGAGTGTGGATTATCAATCTTTGAGATGATAATACTAATCTATATGTTGTTGGAATTGATTGATGAAAGAATTTCTCGGCCTATTAAAAATATTGTGTTAGAAATTACTTATACCACTTAATAATTGGTTACAATAATCATGATCTTTCTCCATTCTACTAGACTTGGAAGTTTTGATGACAATTGGAGGGTTTTGTGGATTTGGTTTGCAAAAAGTTCAAAATTTGGTTAGAGGGGATTATTTAAGGGCAAAGGATGGAGTTAGGGAACACTTATAATGGAGTGTTTGTGGGAATTAGAGGGAGGGTGGGTCCTAGAAAATGCCATTGGTAATGGTAGTGAAGCTCCTCACATGTGGGTTTCAGCAAGTTTAGGGGATTGCCCCCGTGGAAGGGAAGCGTAGATTCAATTATACATGTTCTTTTGTTGCTTATATAGTATATAATGACAACGGTATCCTCGTACTCTAAATATCTAGCTCTCTACAATAGTATAATATTTTTACTTTGAGCATAATCCTTAGTCTTTTATTTCACCCAAAAGGCCTCCTATCAATGGAGATAATGGTTCTCATCGAGTTATTTAGTCAATTTARACTTTGATCACATTTTCAATATGCTTCTTCCTCTCTTCCAATGCACCACTCCCTATAATAATATGATATTGTCTGTTTAGGACATAACTTAATTCATAGCTATACTTTTGTCTCACTGGAATGTCTCGTATCAATAGAGATAATTATTTTCATCTTAGCTCATGTGGGACTTTGGTCGTAATCGAAACGTACTTCTTTCCCTCTCCCCATGCACCACTCTCTCTCTTAAATTTTTATATGGAGGAATTTTGATGAAGAAAATGCTTTGAATCTTCTCCACTTGCTTTGGCCTGTTCCCATGTGCTTGTGCCTTGTCTCTCTCTTTTTCTTTGGGTGCAAACTTCCCTTCACTACAACGTGCTTCTTCTATTCTCCAACAGTTGGAATAGTTTAATTAGGGGTCCTCCCCCCTACCACTTTCTAGCTCTTTTTTTACTCTTATGAGCCAATCAGAGCTAATTGGGGTTTTGTTTTTCAATACCAACTTCCATATATCATGTTTTGTTGGAATGCAAACTCCATTGCAATTATATTCATCAAAAGTTGAGGCATTGATTTGTATATATCATCACAAACTTGACCATCATTTTGATTTGTGTGTAATATAGAAAAGATATGCCAATAACAAAAAATTAACACTTCTTTTTTCTAGTGCCCATATGGTAACAAAATTAAGTCCCTTTTCCAATCCTGCAAAGCCATCTATCTTCACCCAATCATAATGCATGATAATGAGTTTTTCTTTTTTTTTCCTCTTCTTTCTTTTTTTATTAAAGTTAGAAGGAAATTTTTGAGCTACTTGTGAGTATGTTTAATATGATATCATAGGACTCGGACTCGGACCTAAAAACTTGGATCTTCGGAAAAAAAAAGTCACTTCAGTTGGTTCTCTTGTAAAATTTTTTAATTATAGTGAGTTATATTCTTCTTTGTTCTACGAATATAGTATAGCTAAACATAATTACAACCTATTCCTTATTTTGAGATTGAAGGTTTAAATTCTTATACTCCCATGTGTAAAGCTAAACACAATTAGCACTTACCCCAATATACAAGGGAGAGAAGAATTCATACAACCGTTGATGAAATGGAGGAGGGATGGAAAAGAACAACTAAATATATATGAGAGAAGGAATTTCCTTTATATTTTCAAAGAGATGGAGTTTTCAGGCTTTCATATAGCATCTTTTTGGCAATTGGCAGTGACTTTTTTATATACATGCATAGAATTATTCCTAGTAAATGCAACTAGGTGTGTGTCCATACTATTTTAATTCAAATTGATTTGTTTAATGCTAAATGTCCAATTGTTTAAATTGGTGGAAATATTAGTAAATATTAAGCTCCATTTTGTAACTAAACTATTGGGTTTGTAAGGTGATTTGTAAACAAAGTCTCACGTTGGCTAGGGTACGGAATGATTATGGATATATAAGATAGGACAATTATCTCCATTAGTTTGAGACCTTCTGGGTGGAACAAAAAATAAAGTCGTGAAAGTTATGCCCAAAACAGATAATATCATACCATTGTGGATATATTAGGAATACCAACAAGAACAACCATATGAGAAGTTATAAATAATAGAGGTTGGTCTTGGTTCGAGACGGTCTAAATGATAAATGGTAAAATTAATTCTCTAATTCCATTTTAGTTCAGATTTTTTTTTCTCTCTTTTTGTTTTTTGGCACAAGGAGAAGCAACAGAAAAAAAAAATAACAGTAATTAAAAATTCTTACACAACCATTTGAAAGCATCCTATATATATCAAGTGTAGCACATATAGATAAAGAGTCATTTTGGTTGCTTTCTAATTATTGGAAGCACCAAGGAGAAATCGTAGGCCATTTGTCTCTTGATTGAACTCTCTTTGTGGGCAAATGCATTGAATAACATTTCTTTGATTAACTCACATTTATTATATTCCCAACCTCTCCTTTATATTCGAATATTCACTAATACATTAGGTCAGAGAGCTTATCCCAATGACGTAAGATCCAACCATTCTTAGAGTTGAGGTGGAACACCGATCTCCTAGCTAGCTTTATTCATCTTTTAAATGAATAAATGACATGTATTATAATAAGTTAAACCTGAAAATTATGATCGAGTAATTAATATATAGACATTAACAAACAACTAATATAATGGGTCCTCGCTGATATTTAGGTTTATATGATAACTTTAATCCGTACTTGTAGGAAAATGGACAAACTATATTATATATGATTCTCCATATTGTTATAACCTTGGTTGCTTTTAACACTCTCTTCATGGAAGGGGGTCTCCCATCATGAATTATTTTGACAAGACATTTTTCTTGCATATTGTTTATATAATATAAAGTGTGGAGAAACATTGGGTGGGGTGGCACTGGCAAAAGGCATGAAATTAATAAATATATATA